CATGTCTAAGCTTGGGCTTAGACATGTACCACAGACTAGGTGGTTTAAACAACAGAAATTTATTTTTCACAGCCTGGAGCCTAGAAGTTTCAAGGTGCCAGCATGGTCCAGTTCTGGTAAGGGCTCTCTTCCTGGCTTGTAGAGAGCCACCTTTTCACTATGTCCTCACATGGTTGTGGGGGGCAGGGGGAGAGAGAGCAAGGCAATAATCCCATTGTAAGGGCCCCACCCTGATAACCTCATCTAAACCTAATTATCCTCAAAGGCCCAGTCAATCTCCAAATACCGTCACACTGGGAGTTAGGGCTTCAACATGAGAATTAAGAGGCACACAATTCAGTCCACAGCATTTCTCCCCTGGCTCCCAAAATTCATATCCTTCTCACATGCAAAATATTTATATTCATTCCATCCCACAGCCCTAAAAGTCTTAATTCATTCCAGCATCAACTCTAAAAAGTCCAAAAGCTCATCTAAATGTCGTCTAAATCTGATATGGGTGAGATGCAAAATTCTTCATGAGGTAAGATTCCTCTCCAGCTGTGAGCCTGTAAAACCAGACAAGTTATGCGCTTCCAAAATATAATGGTGGGACAGGTATAGGATAGACATTCCCATTCCAAAAGAAGAATTCAGAAGGAAGAAAGGGATGAGGGGACCCAAGGAAGTCCAAAACCTAGTAAGACATAGATCTTAAGGCTCAAGAAGTATCCTTTTTGGCTCTATGTCCCACTTTCCAGGCCCACTGGGGAGGAAGTGTCACCCCCATGGCTCTGTGGGGTAGCCTTTGGTTCTGTGGGATACCACCCCTAAGGCTCCTGGTAGAGGCCAAAAGGCTTGTTGAAACTGAAGTTGTGGCCCTGATGATCTCTGAATCACCTTTGGGGGTCATTTCTCCCTCTTCTTGAAGAATAATGCACGTTCACAGCCTAATAGCTCTATCATCCCATCCTGTCACATCCAAAAGGTCCAACAGCCTTTCTTCATTTCATCCTGTCTCCTTCCCCCGGAGTTAAAAGTGGCAGTGTTTTTGCTCATAGAATCCCATAAGCTACTTATCAAGTGATTGTTCAGCCACACTCTTAGTGTTCTTTCCAGAACAAACTTTCTCTTTTTTTTTTTTTTTTGCAACATGGATAGGCTGAGAATTTTCCAAATCTTCAGATTCTGGTTCCTTTTTGCTTAACAATTCCTTCTTCAATTCCTCTCTCCCCTTTGCATTTCACTAAAAGCAGTTAGAAAGAACCAAGCTGCTCCTCCAATGCTTTACTTAGAAATCTCCTCAGCTAAATATATTTCACTGCTTACAATTCTTCCTTCCACACAACACTAGAACATAGTTCAGCCAAGTTCTTTACCATTTTATGACAAGAATTGCCTTTCCTCTAGTTTCCAATAAACTGTTCCTCATTTCCATCTGCGTTCTCACCAGAATCACCTTTAATGTTCATATTTCTAGCCTCTACCCATTACCCAGTTACAAAGCTGCTTCCACATGTTAGGTATTTGTTACCACAGAACCCCACTCCTGGTACCAAAATCTTAGTCAGCTTGGGCTGCCATAAAAAAATACGATAGGGAGAGGGGGAGGGGGCAGGGAGAGCAAGCTCTCTGGTGTCTTTTCTCATAAAGGCACCAATCCCATCACAAGGGACCTACTCTCTGACCTCATCTAAACCTAATTATCAATATCTCCCAAAGGCCCCATCTCCAAATACCATCAATACTGGGGGTTAGTGCTTCAAGATATGGATTTTGGGAGGACATGATTCAGTCCATAGTACAGTAGCTCAGCATGTCTCTGATAGGTTGGGTAGCAGAACACTACTAGTTTCCCCAGGAGGTTGAGGCAGGAGGACAGAAGGAATTAAAGAAGACTCTTTGAGTTGGTGTAGTATACCAAAGGAATGCAGATTTCAGTAAGAGATTTTCCTGTTGGGGATTCTGATTACCACTTCATTTTCATAAGCTCAAGATATGGCTATATGACACTTCAAATTCTTTGAAGTAATGAAAACATGAATACAACTTTTATAAAAACATTATGAGAAAGACTCAGGATTCTTCAGAGAACTTTGAAGCAATTTTAGAAAACAGATCCAGGCTAAATTTCACTCATTGTCTTTGAAACAGAACCCTGTGACTGGGTCCGAATAACACTAAAATAAAGGTCTAACAGTTGGAGCTAGCGGTGGGAGTTGGACTAGGGAAGGACAAGTGTGATATGGAAATATGGCAAAGCCAAGAGAGAATTAATTACCCGCCAGGCACTCTTTTCATGTCTAGACTTAAATGTTTAATGGGTTTAGAAGTCATTAAAACAGCCAGATGTGCTGTAGTTTGTGTTCAAGATACACGGTAAGGTCACTCTGATGTGATGAGGACAAACAGAGTAGGGTAGGCTACATGATGTTGAAGGGGCTTTCCAATGCTAAATACTCTGCCTCTTCTACAAGGATGTGACTCTTTCTGGAGATTAAATGCTGCTTCTAGATGAGGATGATGACCCTTTTTTTTTTTCTTTTAATTTTTGGCTGCGTTGGGTCTTCGTTGATGCACATGGGCTTTCTCTAGTTGCGGTGAGGGGGGGCTACTGTTCACTGAGGTGTGAGGGCTTCTCATTGCAGTGGTTTCTCTTGTTGTGGAGCATGGGCTCTAGGTGCGCAGGCTTCAGTAGTTGCAGCACGCGGGCTCAGTAGTTGTGGCTCACAGGCTCTAGAGTGCAGGCTCAGTAGTTGTGGTACACAGGCTTAGTTGCTCTGCGGCATGTGGGATCTTCCCAGGCCAGGGCTCGAATCCTTGTCCCCTACATTGGCAGGTGGATTCTTAACCACTGTGCCACCAGGGAAGCCCATGATGACCCTTTTCTAACATGACCAAGGGGAAAGAGGCTCAGTAGGGCCAGCTTCCAGAGACCAGAAAGAAGAAATGAAATGATTAAGCTGGCATCATTCATTCAAATGAACTCAGAGAGGCCACCTAGGGCTGTAAGAGTAGGGAAGAGGAGTAAACAAGGGCTTCAGGGAGAAAATGGTTAAAATAACAAAAAACTTAAAATAGTGGAGGAAAGGAACTAGGTATCTAGTAAACAGAAGGAAAGAGAGAGCTCCTGCTGAGAAAAAGGATACCAGATTTATTTGAGTTCCTCAGAAAAGGAAAGGAATGAGAAAGAGATCCTTTCATGAATTTAAAGGAAGAAAGAGTGTAGAAGAAAAAAATCCACTGTGGAATCACTAAGAAATAGAAAATCAATAATACTAGTTAGCACTGAAAAAGGTCTTCCCAATTTCGAAACATCTTGTCAGTGTATTCACAGTTACCAGCACAGCTCCTGGCATATAAGAGATAACACACTAAATATTTGTGGAGTGAAAGAATGTTACTGAGTCCTCACAACAACCCCGCAACCGGGGAATATAGAACTCAAGATTAACATGGTGAAATATGACAAAATATATATGTGCAATATAAAAAGAATAAAATCTAGAATATGGGAGAGACAGACTAGCTACAATTTAGAACACGGACGAACTTTAGACTTGTGAAGCACTTGAAATTACATGAAAATTTTGCTTCCATTTTTCTAGTGAGAGGCTTCAGAGCTTATATTAAGAATTTCAATAAGAGTTTTTGAGCAATTGATGTTTTATTAGGTTAATTATTAATTTGTGTTGAGAAAGGACAGGTGGGAATTTATACACACATGTATATATTCTTACAATTAGCTTAAGGAGTTCAAACGAAAATGAGTGCAAAAACGCTCAAAAAATTTCATACCTAGGTTATAGTTTTATGTGTATTTACATACTACCTGAATTATCTTCTGGACACGTCTGATTACAAGGTAAACAACACCTCAAAGATTCAGACCAACACTGCCACTTTGCTATTCTCTTTATATCCTACTCCTCCCCCCGACCCACCTCAAGCAATTTTTAGATACATTCTTCCTAATGCTGCCTAGCAAAGTTATGAATACAAGGAAGGCACTTGAACCACTTCAGACTTTGAGTTTGGTTTCTCAATAAATGTTAAAAACACTTTCATATTGAATATATTCACTGGTAGTAATCATTTAAACTGGAGAGTAAGCAAAATATACTCTTTCAGAGAAGTTACACATTCTAATGGAAAGAACTAGACAGGCATACACCATACCAATTCTGTATAAAGCTCATAAAAGTTTCCAACCTGAAACTCCCTAAGTGAAATTTACAAGAAACAAAAACTGAAACACTGAACACTGGCGTCCTTACCACCCATTCACTGAACCTTCTGCTTGGTGTTGAATTTTAAGACATTATTACTTTTCTCTAATTACGAAAACAAACTTGTGTACACATATTTGTTACTGTTACTTAACCGGCTCTCCTCCCCTTTAAACTAGGCAGAGAATTGAAACCCACTAAAACCCGCTAAAAGAATTACACTTTGGTGTGTTAAGAAATTATTTTAAATTATTACTGTTACCAGAAAGCCCCAGAATGGAATCAAATGAGCCCTAAGGCGAAACAGAAACTAGAGAAGAAAAAAATCTGTATGAGAGCAATTAAACTAAAGCGCAGTCCTTGAACCGCTAAACATCCAGGGATCGCGTATACGTTTTTTCCTTCTTTCGGGGTTGGGGTTGGGGGTAGTGCGGGTTAAGCAGCGGTAAGAAAGACTGGACAATAAAATTCAGAGGTCAATTCAAAACGCCTGGAACAGTGAAACTACAGAGGAGAAGCACCAAAGTCCGAGTCGTATTAGGGGCTCGGCAGGTAGCTTTCTCGGGGGTAGGTACCGGGACTTCAAAGGACGGGAATGGGGGCTGGACCAAAAGGGAGTAGTGGGACAGGGATGGGTATGAAAGCAAAAACCCAGAGCAGGCCGCGTAGGCGCGGGAGAGGGCAGGCCGGCAGGGAGCCAGTGGGGGTGAGGCGGCGGCGGCGGCGGCGGCGGAGGGTGGGGGGGCCCGGCCCCGCCCCGGGGAGGCCCGAGCGCCCGCCCGTCCCCCTTACCAGAGGGAGCAGGAAGCCCCACAGCAGGGCGACGGCGGCGGGGGTCAGCGGTTGCTGCAGCCCCATCAGACTGCCTGGTGAGCGCCCGGCGGCGCGGCGCGAGGCGGGGCGGGTTCGGGGTCCCCTCGCGGCGCTGCTTCGGTGGCTGGGCCGGACAGGGGCGGGCAGCGGGGTTGGGCTGGGGCCGCCGCGGCTGCTGGAGCCGCAACTGCAGCGCCGACTTCCTCTTCCGGCCCCGCCCGGAGGCCGCGGAAACCCCCACGGGGCAAGTGGAGGCTGGGTCCGCGCGCGCCGCCCGCCGGGCTCTCTCAGGCTCCCGGCGCTGGCGAGCACCGGCAGCGGGTCTGGGCGTGTCTCTTTACAGCTGCGTGACCTGAACTGTTCCCCGGTCCGGGCAGGCGAAGGGACTTTTTCAAGCCCTCCTTCTTCCTAGAAGCGGCGGACCGCCTGTTCAGTTCCCCACCAACTACCCAGGTGCTCGAGCCAAAAACCTACATGCTCTGAGTCTTAATTCACCTGCTCATCAGCCGTCCTAGGCTCTCTCACATGTATGTCCCCAAAACGCCCACCTTCTCCTAAACCGCAGTGACCACCCCCAGACCACCGTTGCTTCTCTCCTCCAAACTGGTTTCCGTTTCCACTCCCCACATACCATTATCCACACAGCTGTCCTGGAGAGATCTTTTTGAAAATGTAAATCAGATCATGACACTCCCAACCACACTTAGAATAAAATCAAAGCTCTACTCCGGGACTTCCCTGGTGTCCCAGTGGTTAAGAATCCACCTGCCAATGCAGGGGATAGGGGTTCGAGCCCTGGTCCCAGAAGATCCCACAAGCCATGGAGCACTGAAGCCCACGCGTCTAGAGCCCGTGCTCTGCAACAAGAGAAGCCACCGCAATGAGAAGCCTGCCACTGCAACAAAAACCCAACACAGCCATAAATAAATAACTTTATTTTTTAAAAAAAGCGGAACAGTCTACTCTGGAGGACAAAGTTTATATAACATGGTCCGTGCCTGCTTCTCTGACCCCATCCTCACTGTTTTCCCACGCTCGTTTCAAGCCACGTGGGCCGCCTTCGGTTCTTCCGGCCTTTGTACTGGTAGTCCTCCCTGCTGGAACGCTTCTCTCTCTGAATACCTGTCACGCTGTGATTCACTTATCAGCTTAAATGTCACTTCCTCAGAGGGAACTTATTTATTTACTTTTTTAGTTAATTAATTAATTTTGGGCTGCATTGGGTCTTCGTTGCTGCGTGTGGGCTTTCTCTAGTTGGAGTGAGCAGGGGTTACTCTTTGTTGTGGTGCGTGGGCTTCTCATTGCGGTGGCTTCTCTTGTTGCAGAACTCGGGCTGTAGGTGTGTGGGCTTCAGTAGTTGTGGCACATAGACTCAGTAGTTGTGGCTCACGGGCTCTAGAGCGCAGGCCCAGTAGTTGTGGCACACAAGCTTAGTTGCCCCACAGCATGTGGGATCTTCCCAGACCAGGGCTTGAACCCGTGGCCCCTGCATTTGCAGGCGCATTCTCAACCACTGCGCCACCAGGGAAGTCCCGAGGGAACTTATTGACATACCCAATCTAAAGTAGCCACCCAGTCACTTTCATATCACATGATTTAATTCTCTGCACAGCACTTTTCACTCTTACTTATTTATCTCATCGTTTATTTATGATGTAGATTCCCACTTGATAGAAAGGTGTATCTTTGCTTTGGTCACTGCTGTATCCATTACAACATTTGGCTTAAATTTGGTCCTCAAATATTTGTTGGATGAATATTCAATACCAAACACTGAATAGAATGCTGTCCCTGCCATCCCACAGCTCATGGTTTAGTGAAGGACATAGATGTGTGAGCAAACTGTTCAGGGTGAGTAGTGACCCTTTTGTTTGCAGAAGATGCTATGGGAGTATCAAAGGGACATTTTAAAGGGGTGCCAGGAAAAATTTCAACCTAAGCTGAGTCTAGAAGGCTGAGTTAATTTTAGCCAGGCGATGGGTAGGAGGAGGGGGAGACTTCCAGGAAGAATGAACCATTAGTGTCAAAGCCAAAGGTGACATTGGAGGAACTGCAAAACTTGGGCTTGGCTGAAGTTATGAGTGATGATAGATGAAGTGAGAGAAGAAGGCAGAGGCCAAATCACAAATAGATAGGGGTATCCTGCTTGGAACTTTAGGCTTCGTCTAGTTGGTGATGGAAAGCACAGTGACAGACCATTTTTGTTTTAGAAAGCCCTCTGTGATGGCAGGAGGGGTGGCAGATGGATTGAAACAGGGCAAGAGTAGAAGCCAGGAGACCTATTGGACAACAGTAGTAACCCAACCCAGGCAGGGATAGTGAGGGCCTGAACTGAGACAGTGGCAGAAGAAATGGAAAGGAGGAGGAGGTGGTGGATCTGAAAATTCATAGCAGAATTTGGTATAACTGAGGGTACATGAGAGATGAAGGAGAGGGATGATTCCCAGGATCCTGCCCTGGGCCCTTTATTGAGATGATCATCCCAGGAGATGGAGGGGGTGGGGGATGGGTGAGGAAGAGGAAAGAATTTTGGACTTGAGTTTGAAATGTTTGTGGGACATCCAATTGCAAATGTCTGTAGGTTGATGGCTAAGTGGGTTGGTCTGAAACTTAGTGGCATAATGAGACCAGAACTCAGGTCTCCTGCCTGTCAATCCGAGACTCTTTTCACATTTTCTAGCTGCCTAGGGCAAGCCAGATTTCCCTTTTGTAAAATGACTGTGATTAGATGACTTCATCTCTAAATATTCCCTTCTGTCCATAATGGCCCTTCGCCTAGTGAATCTCCAAGGTGGCTCCTGAGGCTGAAGATCTCTGGTTTTCCTGTCTAGAGTTATGCCCATTTTTTCTTCCCCTCAGTCGGAGAAAATTTTGTACCTGCAGTCAAAGAACCTGTGTTATAGGCTAGTTCCTTGTGCAGTCTCTCTTTGCCTGCTTTAGTTTTCTCAGCTGAAAAATATGGAGAGTAATACCTGTTCTGCCTGTCTCAGATGAGTATTGTAAAAATTACATGACTTGTAATTTGCGTATAATTACTCTGAAAATTTTTTTAAAAAGAAAAAGGGAGAGGAGAGGAAAAACAGAAGGCTGTGTTATTGCTGTAGTCCAGTGTCAGCACTGTTTGTCATAATTCTTCTGCCAGAATTTTTTCTTCTTGGTCAAAGTCCCTGTGCATGATGAAGGAAAATGGGAGGGTTAATGGAATATTGAAAAGATTCTTAATTCATGACTTTACTGTTGGAATGGCTGTTAAAGGATATTTGGAGTATACCTCTATTACACATGAATTTCCCTGGAAGTATTAGGTAGGATAAAATTTACCTGCATAATTTTTAGTCGATATTTTTCTTCTCTAAATAAGCTATGTATAAAAACCCAATTATGGAAAATAACTATCATTAAAGATTGTTTTAATTTCTAAATATATTTAGTTAATGGAATTTTTTCCCCAATGATAAAAGATAGAATGTTATTGGTTGTCAGAACCTTTCTATAGTCTAAGAAATGGTCAAGAACTATTGGCTTCATTTTACAAATGTGTTAGATGACAGCAGCAGAGGAGGAGCTAAAACTCAGTCTCCTACCTTAGTACACTAACAGTAAGTAAACCTGTTGTTTGCTGGTACTTCCACAGTGTTTTTTACTCAGAGGACATTGATGAAGTGTTGGTAATGTGCCCCAAAGACTTTCTTGGGCAATCTAGATCATTACTTTAGTATAGAGCAGTGATTCTTAGTCTTGATTATTTATTAGAGTCACATAGGAGAGCTTAAAGGATACTGATGCCTGGGTCCCACTACTCCCCTTTCCCCATGCAGATCCTAAATTTAATTGGTCTGGATGTAGCCTGTGTATCATAATTTTTAAGGCTCCTCAGGTGATTCTAATATGCAACCGAGGTTGAGAAAGTGGCTTAATCAGTGATTTTTAAAATGTGGCCTCGTGGACCAGCAGTATTGACACCACCTGGGAACTGTGAGCAGTGCAAATTCCTCCAGACCTATAGAATCAGAAACTCTGGTTCTTCTGACTATAGAATCAGAAACAAAAGCAATTTGTGTTTTAATAAGCCCCCTAAGCAATTCTGATGCGTGCTAAAGTTTGAGAACTATTGGTTTCAGAGCAACATTCCTTAATTCTGCCTGCATATTAGAATCAGATGCAAAGTTAAAATAAAAAGCAAACCATTTGCTCCAACACTAATCAAACTGAAAGGAAAAACAGACAAATCCACAATTACAGTTAAAGATTTCAACTCTTCTCTTTCAATAATTGAAAGAATGAGTAGGCAGAAAATCAGTAAATACAGAAGACTTGATCAACATTATCAACCAATTTGACCTAATTGGCATTTATAGAACACGCCACCCAACTTATGCATGATACACATGATTTTCAAGTGTACATGGGACCTTGACCAAAATAAACCATTTGGCCATAAAACAAGTCTCAATAAATTTAAAGTTTCCAAATCATACCAAGTATGTTCTTTGCCCACAATATAATTCAATTAGAAATTAATAACAGAAGGATACCTTGAAGATCTTCAAATAATTAGAAACCCAACACACTTTTCTAAATTACCCATGAACCAAAGAAGTCACAGGAATTAAGAAAATATTTTGAATTGAAGGAAAATGCAAACATGACATGTCAAAAGTTGTGGGGTGCTTAAAAGAAATTTGTAGCACTTACAATAGAAAGGTATAAACATTTAAAATCAATGACCGGGACTTCCCTGGTGGCGCAGTGGTTAAGAACTCATCTGCCAATTCAGGGGACGTGGGTTTGAGCCCTGGTTGGGGAAGATCCCACATGCTGCAGAGCAACTAAGCCCGTGTGCCACAACTACTGAGCCTGTGCTCTAGGGCCCGCGAGCCACAACTACTGAGCCCATGTGCCACAACTACTGAAGCCCACGCACCTAGAGCCCGTGCTCTGCAGCAAGAGAAGCCACCGCAGTGAGAAGCCCGCGCGCCACGACAAAGAGTAGCCCCCACTCGCCACAACTAGAGAAAGCCTGCGTGCAGCAATGAAGACCCAACACAGCCAAAAATAAGTAAGTTTAAAAAATAAATAAATTTATTTATAAGTAAAATCAATGACCTAAGCTTCTATCTTAAGAAACTAGAAAAGAAGAGCAAAT